CGACAAATTTTTTTCTCCCATGGGGTCCGCTCACCAAATTTCACACTTTAAAATGAAATGTAACTGTATCCGGTTTGGTAATACGGACCCCAATACACACACAATACGGCCCCATTCATATCTGTAGGTTTAGGTGCAATTAGGGATTCCTGCATCAAGAACTTGCGTTTTCCTGCAGCAGGAATCCCTAATCTTCAATTACCCAGACATCAATTGGGCCAATGGAACTTCGGGTTCGGCAAAGGCGGGGCGATTTCTAAACATGTTGCGCGACAACTTCATGGACCAGATGGTGGAGACTCCTACCAGAAAAAATGCCATCTTAGATCTAATTGTCACTAATAATGCAGAGCTAATCGAGGATATTGTAATTGGGGAGTCATTGGGAGTTTAAATGCGGCCGCTGTCACCCGTTCAAGTTAATGATCAGGTGACAGCAGCTCCATGTAAACGCCTGCACACCGCATGTAATGATACGTGATATGATTACATGTGATTAGGAATCAATTACTATCCCCGGACACATCGATTGTGCATCCAGGGAGTGTGTTTTCTAACCGCATGTAATCATATCACGTATCATTACATGCGGTGTGCTGGAGTTTACATGGAGCTACTGTCACCTGATCATTAACTTGAATGGGTGACAGCGGCCGCTTGTAAACGCCAGATTAGTGATTCCTGCTGCAGGAAAACACTAGTTCCTGAAGCAGGAATCCCTAACCGCACCTAAACTTACAGGTGTGAATGGAGCCTAATACACTTCCACCCCCCCCATAAAAAAAATATTACCCCTGCACAAATAAGAAAAAAACCCCTCCCCCTCTCTACACATAAAACAATACTACCCCTCTACATATAAAATAATACACCCCCCTGTACATACACAAAAAAAAGGAAAATGTAATACAGAGCCCCCCCCTCCTGCTTACCTTTTTGCAGGGAGGAGGTTGTGTGAGGAGGCACGATCCTTGGTGATTGAATAGTGATGTCTGCAGCAGACCTTACCAATCAATCACCGAGTGCCGGCACAGAAGCAGCTATGCGGTCTGCATTCTATAGAGATGCAGAGCGTGTAGCTGCTCCCACAAGTCGGGGAACGTGGTACGTGACCGCATACCCGACTTGCGAGCTGGCTGCGGGCCACATAGTACCGGCTCGCGGGCCGTTACTTTGAGACCACTGTTCTAAACAAAGCTAGTACAACGTGGACGACCTTATTTCCAAATAGTGATATAAGGGACCCCGGTGTTTCTTCAAAAGGAGCAATTTAGATGATAATTGTATCTGGTAGAGAATGGTGATCATAAGTTTGCGGGCTGAGAGGTCAGAAGCTTTGCAGCACTGAGGATTTGGGTTTGATTCTCACCATGGACACCAACTGCATGGAGTTTTGTATATTACCCTGTGTCTGGTTTTAGTCAGGTTTTCACCTACAACCCAAAAATATGACAACTGGCCCTGCGGCGTGTGTGTGTGTGCATACATATATCTACCGTCATGTGATAAAATAAGTACACCCCATGGAAATTGATGACTTTTTCCACATAAATGAACCGTCAAACATTAGCTATTCATCACACCGGTGTCTACAGATGAACATCCCTCCCAAATGTAGAACTTTAGAAAGAAGGACACGCTATGTGAACAAGCGGGGAGTGGGTGTGGCTACATTGCGCTAAATATTGGGCTTGGCTTAACGTCCATCTCTGGGACAGTTGTAGAAGAGAGGGACGGTTGTAGAAGAGAGGGACGGGGGTCCTGAGGAGGGACGGTTGTAGAAGATAGAAGAGAGGGACGGGGGTCCTGAGGAAGGACGGTTGTAGAAGAGAGGGATGGGGTCCTGAGGAGGGACAGTTGTAGAAGACAGAAGAGAGGGACGGGGGTCCTGAGGAGGGACAGTTGTAGAAGAGAGGGACGGGGGTCCTAAGGAGGGACAGTTGTAGAAGAGAGGGATAGGGGTCCTGAGGAAGGACAGTTGTGAGAGGGATAGGGGTCCTGAGGAGGGACAGTTGTAGAAGAGAGGGACGGGGGTCGTAAGGAGAGAAAATTGTAGAAGACAGAAGAGAGGGACGGGGGTCCTGAGGGACAGTTGTAGAAGACAGAAGAGAGGGACGGGGGTCCTGAGGGACAGTTGTAGAAGACAGAAGAGAGGGACGGGGGTCCTGAGGAAGGACAGTTGTAGAAGGCACTGGATGAAATAAGGAAATGGGTAATAAGATCCCGACATCATCTACAGACCTGAACA